TAGTAGTTGTAGGAGGAGGAGGAGGCGACCCCTCCCCTTAGGCACTATGTATCACTACGTTTTACATAACATTATAACAAGGACGACAGGTTGGTGTAAGGGGAGGGGTAGGGGGTAGTTCCGTGCAAACAGACCGCGTTCGGTAACCGACAACTCGCGAACGTGAAAAGCTCCGAGTTCAAGTTTTCGAGTGCTACGTGGCCGCTGGCTGAACTCATCAACAGCGTGAGAACATTTCGAATATATGACCACGTAGAGCCCTTACAAAACCGCTCCTTCAACACACTCTTGATAGGTCGGGGCAGAACTCAATATACTAACATTACTACTGCTACTAGCCGCCTCCTCCGGGAACTCATAATCAATTTTTAGAAAAACGTAGTGCCTAGGTGGGGGGGGGCGTCTAGCAGTAGTACGTTGCACTGGCAGCTAGTCTTGTTGGTGATAGCGGGGAGAGCAGTAGCGCCAGTTCTCTGAGGAGTAGTTGCGAACGCTGGCTGTTGCAACACCCTGCTACTGCTTGAAAGGCGCAGCAATTCCAAAAGAGAACCCTTTCACCCACGTCTAGATGGTGGCCGTCTACCACAAATCTAGATGATCCAAGTCAACATGGATCAGCGGCGAAAACAACTCCACAATTTTGCCGCTAACCCTACGTATTTGCCTTTGCAAATCCCTCTGCATGACAAACAAACCGCTGTTCGACTGGAATGGTTGACAGCCAGCAGGCATTCACACGAAACACTTGACAGGGGTAGCAAGGGCAGGCGTGAGCCTCCTGCCCAAACCCTCCCTTGAAGTAGAACTACAAGTCCGCAGAACTTCGCAGAACTCAAGAGGCGTTTACAGGGAGGGACAGGGGGACTGTCAGAAGTGAGCATGTCACGATCTGAGGTCAAGGACATGAAGTACATCAGGCTTGTCCTTACAGAGGCCAGCAGGAAGTTTGCCCACGCAAGCGGCGACGACATCCAATCGCCCCCGTCATGCCTTTCCAGCTGTGTGCTGCCAGGCCCTGCGGCTGTTTCCAGCACCACCGGTGCTTGCCCGGAGCCCTCTCAAGTCCGTGACGCTGCCAATGCCTGCTGGAGGCAACGTGACGTTGATTCTTGGAAGCAAGCCGCCAGTTCTGGCAGATTGTAGCAAACGCAAAATGCCACACATGTTCTAGATTCACCAACACGCACTTGCTAAGGAGTAGAGGTTCGTTATTGCTACTTCAGCTTACTCAACTCCATCGACACCCTGGAATTTATGAGCGCCCCGACGAGCCGCTTGAATGAAGTGATAGGTTGCCAATCTTCGGCCAGTTTCTCTTTGCATAGAATGCTGCAAGAAGAGTGGCTGAGGTTTTGGCCCGAGCGTTGGGAGCAAGGCTTCAACTCCACCGGCGCTTATCCCGTGCAAGGATGTCAGCTTGTAGTGAGAAACCAGTTGCCAAGCACACCTCATCGTCTATCTCAGTCTATCTCATTCCTTCAATGACGCACGTTGAAGGATGGCGTGGCTATGATCCAGCAAGGGTCACTGGCCTGTATCCCACAGCCGTGGCTACTGACTATGCTTTCATTGGTTTCGGAGGAGGTGCTCTGCTAAGTTGCTTTCCGCTGCGTCAAAAGCAATGGGAAGCACCTTGCCGCAGCTATGATCAGTTGTTAAGGTTCTGACTTTCAAGCCGAGGTGAGTTTCAGTGTGTGGGGGACCAGTTTGCTATGATTGAAGGCACAGCTGTAATGGCGATGCTTCTGCAGAGGCCTGCAGTCTTGTTGCTGAGCCCATTGCCTTGTGAGCACATGTGAAATTATGTGAAACCTATGTACCAGCACTAAAGCCAACAAGTTCTCGCTTGAAAGTACCGCAGCTGCAGGTACAATTTCAAACTCGTCGATAGCGATTTGGAAGCAATTGGCCTGGATATGGCTGCTACAATTCACACAAAGCGCGGCCTGATGATGAGAGTTTCGAGGGCCACAGGTTGAAAAGTCTGGTGACGGTGGCGAGCACAGCCAGCCCGACGTGGTGTAGCAAAGGGCACAGGTGGCACTGGATATAAAGTCCCCATGGCCCATGCCAAGCCTGACTTTTGACGGCTTTGATAGGTCGTGGCATGTTTCCCTGTGCCGGCTCTTGTTGGCAAAGCTGACTTGCCTAATCTGCCACTAAGCCGGGTATTGTGACCAGCTACTACGACTCCAAGCGGACACGGCCAACAGTCAAACTTCTTGGGTAGAGCAAATCCTGCCAGCCAAGCTATGGATATCACCAGCATGGTGAACGCTTCTCAGCTGAGCTATCCGCCCTCCACTTTTCTGGGGCCCGACAGAATTCAGGCAACCTGGCTAGCAGATTCGAACTTCCACATTCACTAGCATTACAGTTTGCAGCCTCTTAAGCATGGCGGAAAGCTCAGATAAGCCGGGGTGTGGAGCGAACAGGCTGGAGTTCAGCCCTTTGTCTCCATTTTTCCGCTCTGGAAGCATTGCACATGCTTCTTGTCCACGCCGCACCACACAGCCGAAAAGAGGCGCCTGCGTCTTGTGTATCCCCTCAACCTTGGCAGCTGCGGGCACGTTTTGTGCGATGTTTTGACGCTACTTCTTGGTGAAGTGGCTGTTCCAGAGATGCCGGGATTCCTAGCCAAGCAACAAAGTTCTCATCAGGTTGGCGCCCGAAGGTCGAACCACCAAAGGCCTCTCAAACATGTTCGTTACAACTAGCATTGACAGCGAATTGTGCATATGCAGGCTGCCCCTATTTGCCCGCCGACTGGAGAGGACGGGCAGCCCTCTTTTGGCTAGCATCACTGTGCACACTTTTCAGGAGAACCTCTTTGCAATAGATGACCGAACCAAGCGAGCCTTGGCTCTCCGTAAGATGCAGGGTTCAAAAACTCAGCTACAAGCGCCTATCAAGTCTTCCTGCAATTCGAGGCGAGAAGCGCCGCTTGCATCGTTTCTAGCTCAGCGTGTTCAGCCAGCTTCGCATCACTTCAGCATGCCTGCAGTGCCTGCAGCATCGCTTTTCAAGGTAACTTCCCAAAAGCCTTGGGCAACAGCCCGAGCCTCGGAGCCTCGGAGATTTCAGTTGTTGGCAAAAGAAACTTTGAGAAAAGGTGCAGATGCGTTGGCGGAGGCGCCCTGCCTCCTATCGTCCAGCCTTGCAAGCTGCGCGTGGCCGGTGCCCACTCAAGATGAAGCTGTTTGGGTTCAAGTTGGGCAGCGGCTGTGCCCGCACGGAGAAGTTTCATGGCAGGGAGAACACGGGCCGAGATCCGAAAAGCTTTCAGCAGACTGTTGTCAATAATAGAATGGGAACGGAGCGATGGTGGTAGCAGCGGGTGTATAAGAGCCTGAACTGGAGGTCCTCCATGAACCTCAGAAACAAGACCCCATATAGTGTAGAGGCCTGAATTATTTGAACAGGGTTTGGAGGCATATTGTGCTGGAATTGCGGAGGTAATATTGTACTCATTCATGCTTCTACATCCGACGGTACACCAGAGCATTCCCATGTAGCACTGCCCACTTGGCACGCATGCCTTTTTGCACAATGAAGCTGAAGGTCTGAACAGTCGCACAGTAATACGTGGGTTGCTTCGCAGACCCCCCATGTGCGCACAAAGTGCAGTCCGTACCCTCTGCCCTGAGAAGACCGCAAATCCAGCCTCCACGCATGTTCCACCAGCAGCTTGGTGACCTTGATTCCACTGCACAACTTACTTGTTGTGGTGTGGATGGATGTGAGCATAGCCTGGGTGCAGGCGGAGGACTTTCTAGGTGTACGGCCTGAGCAAGGCGAGTCAGATCCGCATCAGTAGAGTTGAATCACGCCCCCTTGTCTTGTAATTTTGTGTTGGAAATCAATTCCGGCGATCGGATGAGGGGAGTGCGCCAGCTTGACGTAGAAGGAAGAGTGTACAGGTACAGACTGCAAGGGTTGGACCAGCAGCAAGGCAGGAAATGTAGCGCGTTGAACATTATCCCACAGGATTGGCGAGCATGCTGTTGTGGGCTTGCTCTGAGAGAGAGACAGAATACCTGGGAGGTCTGCAAACCAGCTGGCGACTGACTTGTTTCAAAGGTGGAAAACCTCAGCAACAATATAAATGACTGAGCACCCAGGGGTTGTACGAGAGCCTGGCGGTGCAAAGCGCGAGATGCAAAGAGTGAGAAGAGAGCTCCAGCAACTACTCTCACATCACCATGGCAAAGCTGCAGGCGCCGTGGCAGGTTCAACTTGACACACCTGACAGCCTCAAAGCGCTCTTGACGGGGAACCGGCGTTGGCAGACGAACCATTGCCGGCACCATGCCGGGATGGCCAGCACTGGAGAATTTCACAAGACGACGCGCAGCCGCGGGTGTTGAGTATGTAGTATGTATGCAAGGCTTCAGTATGCCATGGTTGGCAATCCGGCCAACTTCCCGCCTGCCAGGCGAGACGCTTGCCGTTTGTGCTGGCGATGAGCCTTTGGCGCCCAGACCTTGGAGCCTGCGCGAAAACTCAATGTCATGTGGCCATGTTGAGACCAGTTGGTCCCCAAGTACCGCAGTGCGCACGCCAACTTCAGGCACGAAGTTCTCTCTCCAGAAGAAAGCCAAGCAAAGGAGGAGATCTGGAACGAGGTATGCCGTAAACATTCGTAGCTTCGCCTACAACTGCCCGCAAGACCCCGGAGCGATGTTCAGGTGAACAAGGACATCCTCCAGTACCTTCCTGACAGAAAGAAACAACGCCATTAGCTCATCTTTAGGAATGTTGACCAGCAAGCATTTGGACAGTCAATCTTCATGTGAACACAGTCTAGGTCGGAAAGAAGAGGACAAAGTTTCGCACAGCCAACACACGCAACATCCTATCGGCACGCATGACCTAGACACGGTGTCGAAGGAAGACAGGCTGCGCATTGCAGACAGGCCCTGCCTAATTGGAATTTCCTCATATTTGGCCAAGCTGACCTTGTTGGACAGGTGGCAGCAGGAGCAACAGCAGTACAACCCTCAGCTCCTAGCAGCAATTTGAGCAGGAAAGCATCAGTTACGCATCATTGGGCAGGTTGCTTCTCCTTGAAGAGGCCCGCGAGCGCCGGAAGCTAGCTTCTGAGCTTTGTGAACCGCAGCTTGAGCGGAGAGATGTTGGTTTTGGAGCTGCTCCCACATGCTCTAACTCTTGGAGGCAGCAAGCCAGGCCAAGCCAGCGGAGGCACGAAGTGGACGACGGACGAGATTTGGAGACTGCGAAGTGTTTCAGTCAGGCGTGCTTGGCAAGCTGGAAGTTTGGGGCTCATGCAGATCAGTCAGCTGCTCGTAGGTCGGGTCACGGGACGCCGCAACTCTGCCTTCATCCATCAAGCTTGAGTGTGAATCCGCACATAAGGTGAAGCGGACATTGAAGACTGGGTGCCCTCGACCGAGGACATAATTGCGAGGAGGTCGACAGATACTATCTCAGCGGCACGCCGCAAACAGGAGGAGTGCGACGACGATGTTCACGATGACTTCTGGACGGTGACTGCAGCAGCTTCTTGGCAGCAAAGGGCTGACAAGCAGAACGCTTTTCAGCCCATGCAAACACCTTGTTGGCGAGAGCACTGTACCGATCTGGTGCTGCCTTGGCCTGCTCGTGAGTTTTAAGTATAGCAAGCAAGGTCATCTGCGAGTGATATCCTCATGCCTGCTGCAAGCGCTTTGCGCTTCCGTGCTGGCAAGGCCACCCCCGATCTCAGCAGACCGCTTTCAGGCAGTGCACTGAGATGTGCGAAGCAGCTGGCTAGTTAATTTTGATGCATCCAACAGCGAAGCCGCGAAACAGAATTTGTTGTCGATTTCTCCAGTGCCTGCCCTGCGAGGTTCGGGTCTGGCCTGGCGGGTCCCTACCGCCAAGGCCACGATGGCTCGTTGCAATGGTAGAGTCTTACCTTGTTCATCATACTAGTTTCTATTGATGTTTCAATTACCCATACAGGAGCAGGTGGTCATTTGGCCGTTCATTATGCCGCAGTTGATGGGTAGGATGGGCAAGCGTCAGCCCATGGAAACATGCTGCGACTTGCAAGCGATGCTAGCAATTGGATAGGACAAGATGGAAGCAAAGAACCGGCCGGGGCCCCCCTTTTGCAAGCAGATGACGATTCGGCAAGCCGCGCTGTCCTGGGTGCGCTAGACAAAGCCGTATGATCGCCCCTTGATCAAGAAAGGTGTATGCAGCACTCGCAGAGAGGTCATGGTTGCATCGAGTTCAAGACTGGCATTTGACCAATAGTTCAGACTGTAGCTCGGCAGAGAGAACCGGGTAACGTGACATAGCCATGCGTTTTCCGACCTCCGCGATCCATCAACATGGACAGCGGGGAGGCAACGGTGCGGGTTGCCGCGCGAATTCGGCCGGTCGAGCAGCCTTCTTACCAAGCGACAGCAATCAGCTTCGTAGATAGTACTGTTGCTGTGGCTTCAGATGCTGGCACGGAGAAAACGGATGTGGAATGTATTTTGGTGGAAACTTCTGACGCAAAAAGCGCGGAGGCTTCTCAAGAGCAGGTCTTTCAGTCTCTAGGCCAGCCAATTATCCAGGGAGCAATCGCTGAGGGCATCAGCCAGGGCCTGCTCGTTTATGGTGCCTCGGGTTCTGGAAAGACCTTCACCGTGATTGGGACTAAAGAAGCACCTGGCTTGTTTCCGCGACTGCTACGATCTCTCCTCCAACCAGATGGAGTGGTTGACAAGGAGGTTGGTGAGACACGGATCTGGTTGCTTCCCTGAATTGGCCTAATCGCTTTGCCCTGACATTAAACGACCCCCCCCCCTCCGCAGCCTCCCGTTATTTCATAATCGGGGCCGAAAACATCTCTAGTTTTGGGGGTGATATGTATTGTTCGAACGAATTTCCACAGGGCTGCCTTTAAAATCAATTGAATTTCAATAAAAAACAATCGAAACCACATTGAAATCGAATTTAAGTCTAATTAGAATCAATTGAATTCGAATTAACACCGTTGAAAGCTACGTGAAATCAAGTTGAACTTCTATCTAAAATCGATCGGCTTCAAATCAAAATCCACATAAAATTATACTTGAATTCGAATACAATCCAAGTAAGATCATTTGAAATCAAATTACATGTAGATTCAGATCAATAATTTGAATGGATTTAGAATCCAAGTAGAATTTACAAGTTTGTTGAAAATCCTATTAGAACCAATTTAAATCTATTTGAAATCGTATTGAAAGCAATTGGGATCTAAATATACGTGTAATCTGATTCCAATCGAACCAAGGACGGCTGAAGTGCTACCAAAATCAGTTAGAATTGATTTCAATGTTTATATGATGTCCTTTTACAGTTATAAGTTATATGGAAACAATGGAAACCCACAATATTAAGGGGGTCCCTAATGCCTGTGTATTTCTTATTATGCTCCGCTAATGACCTCAAAACCTCCAATTCACTGTTAGGTGGCAAATTTCAAAAGTAGTCTTCCCCCTGTAAAAGTAGTCTTCAGGATTGTTCGGCCCATTTAATGTGAGGAGAGGATTTAGTATTCGGGGGAAGGGATGAACTCGTGCGCACGTGTGTGCTGTTCTGACAAAGCAGCGTGCGCTATCTTCTTCACATGAATCACTATATTATACTATGACACACTGTACTATATTATGATCTACTATAATCTATTGTAATTTTTTATTACAACATATTATAGTATATATTGTATTGTGAAAACTCCAAAGGAAGCCTCTTCGACGAGCCCAGTACCCCACACCCCCAGCCTGGGCTCTCCCAAGGTGCGTTTGTGTGCTTGTTCAGTGCCTAAGGTTCAGCTCCCTCGAGGTTCTGAACGATCAGGTCCAGGATCTGCTGGCATCGCAACCTTTGTCAGAGCGCAGAGTTGCACCTGCCTTCATTCACCACCCCATCCTTGGGGTGCAGGCGGTTGGTGCCACAGAGGTGCCAGTGGAAGCCTGTGATGTTCAGGAGCTAATTGACTTCACGTTGAAGCGTCGGGCGCTGGGTCGCACATGCCTGCATGCATCCTCAAGCAGGTCCAGCCAAATCTACCGTCTCAGGGTCGAAGTGCGGGGTACGTCAGGCCGCAAAACTGCCGCGACAATTTGCCTCTTCGACTTGGCTGCCCCAACGTCTGCGTGTTCACGTGGAGATTGTCTTTCTTTAGCTGCATTGCAGACCACAGTCAAGGAACTGGGCAAAGGTCACGGCCGAGGCACCCAATACAGGGATGCCCTCTTCAGCTCCTCGCCACTCACGCTTGCTATGCGGGATACGTTGGAAGGAACGTGGCGCACCACCCTGGTGGCTACGCTCCTAGCAGGAAGTCAGCATGCTCAGGAGTCCGCAGCCACCTTGCGATTCGCCCGAGACTTGCAGCTACTGCGGACTCGGCCTGTGGCCGCAAGAATGAGGTCTAACCAGCTACAACTGCTGCAGGAAGAAGTGGTGCAGTTGAGGAGAGATGCAGACCACTTTGGATTAGGCGTGCAGGTGAAGACCGCGTTGGAGGACAGAAGCAGTTTGATCGCCGAGTGCATGAAGCAGGCAGCCTGTCAGGCAGAAGAACGCCGAAAATTCGCGAGGCAGCGGGCTAAGGCGCTGGAATGGTGTGGATTGATGCCTGAAAGCTCAGAGAGCACAACCGCGCCGCATCTTTTGAACATGTCCGATGATCCTGTTCTAGCTGGCTGTTTGCTCTATGTGCTGCAGCGAGGAGAGAGGACATCCATCGGAAGTGACGTGGACAACACAATTGTGTTTGATGGCTTGGGAATACTGCCTAATTTGTGCAGCATCATCAACCAGGACGACAAATTAGTAAGTATGTCTCGCCCTGATTTTGCTCGCCGACATGTCCTTTTGAACGGCAAGACGATTAGTGCCTCCGAAAGCGTTGTGCTTTCCCACAATGATAGGATGTGCCTAGGGAGAGCTCAGCTGCTTCTTTTGAAGATTCCACTGCAAGACGCAGATGCTCAGCAAGGGCAAAACTCACACACACTCCAAGACGAATGCAAGCTTCCGGGAGATCTGTCAGAATACCTGCCGGAACTGGAACTGCAAGGCTTGGAAGTTACTTTTGATAAGGTGAGCGCGGTGATGGAACATTCCGACTCCCTGAAGTACGTCCACTGTTACGTGCGGGACTTGCTGCCCAAGTTGCCACCTTCGGATGGTCTCGCCTGCTTTGCAGCCCTGCGCCGGGCATGTTATCTCTTGGATGAAGCGAACATGATAACCCGAGAGGTGAGGCCAGAGGATCACCTGCATTTTCAGGTCGAGTTAATTTGGGACATCGAACGAAGCCCTGAGGAGGTGCTTCTTATTTGCCTTCTGCGATATGCGAGCAAGGGCAATCCAACACCCAGGACAGGGGCTCCGCAGGACTTCCAGGTCCTCCACTACTGGTCTTACACCCGCTTCCTGGAGAAGCTAGATTACATGCGAGATGTCCATAGGCTACATTGCCAAGGGATGCATGGTTGGACGGGCCGTTCTGACCCCTTGCATGATCCCTGGCTGGAGACACTTGAGTTGCACTTGGCACAGCATGTGCTGTTTGTCAAATTTGTGAGATTCCAAGGGTGCTGATCCCCCTTTAGGTCAAGGGGTGGTGGCTTTAGCATCAGGATGGCCCCACACGCCAAGAGGATACGCTTGAGTTTGAGCATTTGCCAGGGGATCAGCTTAAACTGTTGTTGCCCTTGGTCATGCCTGCCGGTACGTGCATGCTTGATTGGTTCGACCAGACCGCCGCCCCCACGCCCCATCTCTGAGCCAGTGTCCCCAGCTGGCGAGGGATCACACGAATTCCAAACCACGCCTGGCTTGGATTCCGCGGTGTGGGTTGAAATCCTTTGTGGAGCCCTGATGACTCATGAACGCCTGAGATTGAGGGACTACGGAGGGCACCCCAGTTTCACAATCACCCACTGATGAATGCTGATTTCCGTTCAAAAGCGTTTCCGCCACAAGTTGGATGTAGACATTTTGAGGTTGAGCAGTGAAGCTGCAGGTTCAAATAGCGACTTCTAACAATTCTCTCAAGAGCAAGCAGTTTCAGAAAGTAACGAGAGGGTGTCCAAGAAATCCTGCCCTGCCTAGCCCTTTGTTCTGCTAACAGCCAAGGCCCAGTGTTTCCTCACTGCAGCAGTACCTCCTCACCAACAGCTTGGCATGCAATCAGGCAGCTAACATCTTGGACAACTGCGCAAAGGACCGAACAATTGCTCATGTAAAGGAAGCAGACACGTGGTGTCTATTGCTAGACTTCAGGCACTTGATCATGTTGGGGTTCACTTTTTGGAACGTGTCTGACCAAAGCCTTTCAGGACCAAGGGCTCGCTACCGCGCGGAAGGCTTGTACCTCAGCCGGGCACGCGGCCGCAGATGCCGAGCAGCTACGAAGTCGCATCGACGAACTAGTCCAGGAGCTGGAAGACAAGAATGCGGAGCTAGAGGAAAGAGACCAGATTGTCAACCAGCTCAAGGAACAAATGGCCCAGATTATGTCACTGGTCGGTGGGATGGCGCCCGGAGAAGCTGCAGAAGGGCTCCCGTTTGAGCAGCCTGAACCAGAGATCCTTGCCTCCAACAAGCTTTACTAAAGTCAGGGTGTTTTTGGTTGCGTTGCTGATCCAGTCGCTAGTCTGATAATGCTCAATCCCGATTAGTGCGGGGGTGCCCAAGAAAGTAAAGTTTTCAGAAAATATTCTGGACCCCCCTTTGGATCTGGGGGGCCCGATAAAGCCCAATAATGCAAAGTGTTTGCTGCCGGAGAAATTCTAGGGCCTCTCGGGAAGGTTTTGATGGAGGCAAAGTGCTTGTGGTTTCAAGGTTTTAGAGCCAGGCCTTTACATGAAAAGGACAGGCTTTATTAGGCTATTACCTCTCGAATCTGAAATTTGATGCCACGAAGAGCTATCGATTTCTTATTAAACCGATTGTAATTACTTTTCATGAGTTTGCCAGGCCAGGCATTTGACAGTCAAAGACATAAAGGCCGAGGACCCTGCCCTTCCTATTCTCTTGAAAGCTAAGCTGAGCAAGTCCTTATGAACTCAAGAAGCCGATGGATTTTCTTCCCTGATTGTTTTTAAGAGGAGCCATAGGATCCCCGAGACCCCCGACTCGCTTTGAGGCCGTTTGATTGCAGAGGCTCCTCTTTTTGTTTTGGGGGGTTCCCCCACACTAATCAGGCTCTCACATTACTGTAGTTCTTCGGACCAAGTTCCTTCGTCACAACCCTAGTTTGACTTTCTGCATTGTATTTCCTTTTCTTGCTGGCGTCAGGGCACCCTGCAGCAGAGAGAAGCGTGACTCCCCAGCAAGTGACGCAGAGCATTCATGCACGATGACGGTATCCGCGTCTACGTCGGAGGGCGGGTTTGGTGGAGGGGAGGTTCGTGACACAGAGCGTTCTAGAGGCTTTCGTGTGGACAACTTTGGTGTTTCCAAAGGGAATCTTGGCGGAGGGGCCTTGCTCAGTCAGTCAAGCTTGACACCACCGCATTACTATCGGGACCTGCGCAGATGACCAGGCCTGCGTCTCACACTAGGCTAGGCTGAATTCAATCGACTGCAAGCTCTCAAAAATCACAGTGCGACCTCCGACGGGGCTGCATGGGCTACATGCGCAAACTCTGCAACCAAGTCGGTTCATGTTTCCACCAGGCGCGTCAGAGATGGGGCAAAGTTTGCACGGAGCATCGAGGATCTCTTCAGCCCGATCCTCGATGGGAACTGGCGGGATTTGCTTGTGACCCATTGCAGCTGGGCAAGGTGAGCGTTGAGCGACCGGAAGCGCCGCTACAAGTTTCACCCCAGAATTTTCAGGGTTGTGGCAGCAAAGTCGCAGCATAGATTACTAGACTACGCTAGCATGCGCTGGCGTAGAGACAACCGACGGTATGGATTCTGCTTTCATGTGAGATTTGAGGCGCAGACTGCATTTCCGCGACGAGATGCCATGGACATTTCTTGTAGTAGAAGCATGCTTGCGAAGACAGCTTTGTAAGAGCTATCAGCGGCTGTAGCTGCGGCTGTTACAGTCGTTGGAATCGGTGCTTTGCCGTGTGCTTTGTTCGGTATTTGTTCCAAGAGACGGATCACGACTTGCAGCGTTGCATAGCGAAGGTTTCGAGGTGTGTCCCCATGCATCTGATGGAAGGCATCAGTTCACTTGATGTGAGCATTTAGCCCTGACGGCTCATCAGGCCGGCTTTCACATAGATACCAAGCCAATTGACTGGTTGAGTGGGAGGTCTGCAACGCTGCTTTGAAGACTTCTCAAGAAAGCAGCCCAAGGGCAGAGCAGTCTTGCCTTCATTCCGGCAAATGCAGGCCGTCATACTTCAGGAAATACATGCATATGTTGGGGAAGCCCTGCAGTGAGGCAGTAAGTCAGTAAGTGGCAATCTCTTTAGCTTCAGCGCATGTCGGCCTGGCTAAAGGGGCATGCTGGCACAGCGACATCCTCAGGAAATTCAAGTGGCCAACACGAGGCATGCAAAAAAGTCCTTGGGTGTGACGTTGCACACCTGGCACTTCGTGCATTGTGGGCATTTAGAAGTTTAGAAGCTTGCGTGCAGACAGGATCTGCAACTTGCAACTAGCAAGCTTCTGCTTGCCTTGTAAGGGCTACCGACTTCTCCCTGGCGACACGACGCCAGAGCCAAGATCGGCCAGGCAACACGCATGAGCATTTTCCAAGTACTCCACTGGAGGTCCGGGGACGGGTCAGCATGCATCCGCACACACATCAGCGGAGGTCAGCCAAAGTGCAACCGGCCGATGGTCCAGATCGGACGAGGACCTGCGACACTCTACCTGAGTTGGGCCATTGCACTGTTGTTGGTGAGGACATCAACTGAGCAGAGGTCCCGGACGGCAGGGGTTGTGGGCTAAGATTCTGAGCTTGCTTTGCGGAGCTGTTCGGTTCTACACTACTGGAACACCCGCTCATGGCAGATAGGAAAAGCCGGTCTCTGTGCTCTTCAGGACATAGTGCAGTTTATGTCCCACATCTTCTACACGGAAGAGGGCAGCACCTCCAGCTGCACCATCATCACGGATGTGACTGTGTGAGAAGGATAGCAATAAATACGTGAGCCATGTCGCGAAGACATCTGAGGGAAACACCAAGTCAGTGTCAAAGTGATCCGGATAGGCACTGTCACTGCACAGATCCCTCACGCAGTGTTGCGAACACTATCGTGCCAATGAAATATGCATATGCACCTTCGGAGGCACATTGGAGGGGGAGTGCTCTGTCTCTTGCCAGACCCAGGCCTCTTGCCCCTTTGTTTCATTGCAGCCTGAAGAAACACAAATTTGATTTAGGAGTGTTGCCGACTTTGTGTATAGACTTCCTGTTTGCTTACTCTACCGCTCAAGTTGAGGAGCAGAAGGTGTGCCGACCAGAAGGTGTGCCTGTTGCCCGCAGAATTTGGCTTGGCCTTGCGAGAGATGGCAAAAGCACAGTCATGGGATCCTTCTTCCCCAGCGACAATGCTGCATGTGCTGCAAGCTGCAGACGCAACTTGACAGCATTTGTGCCAAGCTGCCGGAGCTTGAGACATGTTTCACGGAGTACGCAACATACTTGCCTTGGAAGTCTTAGCTGCTAAGCCTAAGCTCTTTGGGTGGTTTGATCATCTCGGCGGCAGGCCACGAAGCATCTTAACAAGGTGATCTTGCGAAACGCATCTGACTGGAGGCAGGGAAGTCTGTCGCCCGCCAGGGGCTCAGAAAGAGTGTTTAAATCCTTGGAAGGCAGCTCCTGGAGCTGACAGACACCCTGGGGCAAAATGGCACACCGCATGCGCTGAATGCATGCACGTTGCTGCATCGACTGGCCCGGGCTGTGGTGCGCGAAGGCAGGGGCCTCTCAGAGCGTGCCCGCCTGCTGCGCACCTTGGCATTTCACAACTTGCAAACAACAGCGGCGATAATCAATTGCGGTTCCTCGCCTCCTTGCCAGCACCAGCCAAGGTAGCTTCGACTCTTTCCACAAACTGCTGGGCATGGTCTCCACGCTAGTTCCTGATTTAAACAACATGGAGTTGACCAACTGCTTGTGGGCGCTTGCAACACTGGAAGCATCCGGCGATGCGGAGGCGGCCCTTCTGACGCAACTCACGGCCTCTTGGCTCCGCATAGGCTCTGCATAGGCTCCGCCTTGTCCCCGAATCTTCTTGCCTTTGGTTGCTTTTGCCAAGTGCAGGGTAAGTAGTTACGACGTAGTTTAAAGAAACTCGACCGCTGGACCACTCTGAGTTTCTAAGGCAGGGTGTGCAAAGTACCTGGATAGTTTTGAGCCGCGAAATCTGGCCCTATCAGCATGGGCGCTGGCGAAAGTTGGCTTCGTGGACAAGGCTTGGTGCCGTCTCTGGGCAGATGAAGTGATCAGGAAGCTCTCCATCTTTGAGACCCGGGACATGACTAACGTGATCTGGGCCTTTGCCACTGTGCATTGGCGGGATGAGCACTTTTTGACGAGGTTCTGCAAGGCAAGGTGCGTGGGGCTGGAAGCTGTCAAGCTTGAGCTTCCTATATTGGGATAATGGAAAAGAAAATGGAAACTATTATAGTATATTGGGGTTATATTGGGCTAATGGAAAAGAACATTGAAACTACTATAGTGTATTGGGGTTATATTGAGCTAATGGAAAAGAACATTGAAACTACTATAGTGTATTGGGGTTATTTTGGGATATATTGGGATAATGGAAAAGAAACTCGAAACTTTTAGGTGTTGCCTGAACCTGCGGAGGAAGTCGAAATCAAAGCGGAGCATTATTCGCCTCAAGACGTGGGAAATACATTATGGTCCTTGGCTACTTTGTCTTGGAAAAACGAAGCTGCGCTTGCAGCAATCAGCAAGCGGTGCTTTGATACTGCAGTATCATTTGATCAGCAAAACCTATCGATATCACTTTGGAGTTATGCTACTCTGGGCTACAAGACCATGAGCCCCGGAGGCATGATGGTGTGCAGATGTCAATCTCGCAGGTGGTAGTTACTTTTCCTCGGTAGCGGTAAAGAAAGAATCTGTTGCCCAACTGAGTGCGACCCATGTAAGGAATCTCTTTCATCACATGACTCAACTCATCACCGAGCGCATCAAGACCTTTGCATCTCAGGGCATTGCAAACGTCGTCTGGGCGTTGGCAAAGTTCCACTTCCAGCAGAAGTGCTTATTGATGACGATTGCGGAGGAAGCCCCGACGCGACTGGACGAGTTCGACCCACAGCACCTCTCTATTTTAGCCTGGGCCTACGCGACTTTGGAATTCCCCAACCGACCGCTTCTATCTGCCATCTGCCAAACAGCTATACGAAAGATGGACAGTTTCAACGCGCAGCACATGGCGAACATGACGTGGGCAATGGCCACCTTGGCGCACAAGGCTCGAAGATTCCTTGGAACCTTGCGGGTTTTTTGTTAATTGGTATTGGGGTAGTATTGGCCGGAATAATGGAAAAGAAAATGGAAACTACCATAATGGGTTATATAGGGATTTCCTCATGGCTCAGGACGAGCGATACCTCCAAGTGCTGGCCAGCAAGGCTATGGAGCAGGCGGGAGAACTCTTTTGCCTAGCTGCCCACGGTGCAGTACATCAATGCAAGCTCCAAGCCTTGCTTCCTGGAGGTCAGAAGCTTTAATCCACAGGAGTGCTCAAATCTTGTGTGGGCCTTTGCTTTGCTGACTTTTCGACATGAGCCGCTCCTCAAGGCGCGGCACGTATCCTGACTTCATGCTTAAGAAGCTCTCGTGTTGCAAAACAGCTACTTGCATGACCTGAAGGCTTTGAGCTTCCGCTCCCAGGAAATCGTGTCCGACCCTAGTCTTCATTGATAATTGATTGCATGTGGTCATGAGCACCAAAGAAAGTACTTACTGTACCAAGGACTTCATCCCACAAAATTTGGGGAACACAGCCTGGGCATACAATCGATTGGGCTACCGCGATGAGACCTTGATGGAATGCTTGGTGAAGGAAGCAGCTGGAAGACTTAAGGAATGCGCGGGTCAGGAGGTCTTGGATTTAATTGAGTCAATATCGACTGGTGGCTACGAGGATGCAGTGGCAGGACCTGAATGGAGTTTGCTGCTGCACTGGGCAGGGCAGAAGTACGAATCTGTACATGATTTCGTCAAAGTCTCCAGCCAGATGCCGCTTGGTCTCCGCAAGCTATCGGACTTTGATAAGGCTCTGGCTGTTCAGGACTATCGGGACCACATGGCAAGCTTCAGCTTGGTGGGCCTGGGTTTCACGTATACATCTAAACTGCTGCTCGAGATGGGTGTCATCTTGCTGGAGGGTTCTCAGCGCGAGCAATGGCAGAAGCAGTCAAGGGAGGCTGCTTCTCGCATAACTGGAACCGGTAATGAATCTGATGTGACAAAGAACGCTGAGGCACAGGAAGGCCTGAAAGTTTGTCGCACGGTATGTGTATACCGCTACAACCTGCTTTCAGTGACCGGGCAGCGCTGCATGGTAGAGCCGACGGCTGTGACTAGCGGACCGGCCTGCGAAGCTTTTGAGCTTGGCCTTTTCGCTGCCATCTTGAGACATCCGCGCGGCGGAGACGGCGAATTTCAGGCACTTCAGGCGTGTGCACGTGCATGCTTGCAGGAGTTGGGCTGCAATCCGATTGGGGCCCCTCCGTTGGACGGATCTGCAATTGAGGGTGAACTCTGGCTTCATGTCTCTGAAGTCCCCTGCCTGTCTTGCGTGGGGGCCATTGCACAGTTTCGACATATATTTCCAGACATCAAGATCCACATTTCGTTCAACCTCGGACGGCAACCATCACAAGATGGTACCTCGTCAGCGTCACCACAGGCCAACAGTAGCGGGTCAGTTGTAATGCATGGTCCCCGAGATGCTACGTTTAGGTCAGCTGCTAGGCTGCAAGTATTTTCCCCTGACAAGGGGAGTGCTGGCTCCGTTCATCCCACGCGACGAGACGTTTGAGGACAACGGCGTATATTCCATTCCAGCGGGAATTCCGGGTGGGTGGTGGGAGATGTGGGACTAGTCGAAGTAAGCGCTGACACCGTCTTCCCACTCTGACATCAGCTTCGATGAGGTCCTCTACGCCCACTTCCTGACCGCGCTTACAAGGCCTTTGCCATCGGCTGTGGGCAAGATCGTGCACAAGCCTCTCAGACCAGAGCTCGGAAGACTTTGAAAGTGCGGATCCGGTCGACGGCCGACAGCCCTCGAGCCAAGCCAAGGGGTTCAAAAGCGTGCGCATGTTTGGGCAGGGTCTGAGAGCTGGCCTGTGCAAGGCATCCATCTGCAGCTTCATGTAATTAAGCCATGCTTGGGTTTGGGGGTCAGGACAGTACTGCCAAAGCTGGTGAAAAGCTCCTTGGTTTCTCCACGTTTGTCATATGCTGCCATGGACAAGCACGTAGATTCCCGAAACTCTCCTCGCTGCTTGCCTACAAGATCCGAGGTACCAGCATCTGGAAAGCGCCTCAACTGCAGGACATGCATGCTCGGCTTTAGGTCTTCTGGATGCACTGCTGTTGCGCTGCTCAGAGAACTGAGGCGTTCTGCGGTTTGGTCCTGGTGAGGCCATGAGGAGTTTCGACATCGAGCTGAAGCTTGGTATAAAGATGTGCAAAGCGAACCCTAAGTTTTCTCCGGGCACACAACAGGATATGCAACACTGGCCTGGAAAAGTCAGGATCGATGACGACAACTTTGACACTACCTTGGATTTCAGAGTTTTTCTGTCAAACCCTGATGGTTGTGCAATTTCAAGCGACCAGATCCTCGGCCTCATGTATCATGCGCTCGGAAAAAGCTGCATGGCGAACAGTGTGGCTCAATTTTGCTGCCCAAGGAGCATGTGTCAAGTCCTAATTTTCGACAACGACTTGTTCCCGTCCAGCGCCGCTCAGCATTGAATGATGAGCTGTGCATTAGTACGTATGTCTCATCATCTACGGCAGCAGGGAGAAAAGCAGATCATAGCAGATCTGTTCAGCTTCATGATGAAGACCAAGGTCCTCCACAAGCTGCTAGTCACTAGCTCTTTTCCACGGCCCTCTGGTCTAGAGGCTAGAGGTCTCCCGGGCTAATGTCCCGCAAATGTGCAAAACAAACCTGGGCCACAGTCTAGACATTGCGCCAATCACTGCGCTGCTGATCGCTGCTTAGGATTTTCACGAACATCTACATGATATGTCGAAGGTCAGGGAGGACGCCTTGCATGCAAGGGATCCTGAACAAGTATCCTGGTTCACATCATATTCTATCTTGTGAGAGTTGAAGCGCCGTGGTGCTGAGCATATGCCTCCGTGCTGCAAGAGAAGGCGAGCCTGGCCCATGCGGCATTGACCACTAAGCTTTTATTACTTGTAGCACGATCGTCAAGCTGCTCCACTCCATACATACTTCCTTTCACGTTTGAGCAACTCAGCTGCTCTTAGCCGCTCTTCTTGGCTAGCATTGGTTGGCAGTTCGCAGACCTTCCAAACCACGAGAAGGCAGCTGTGAAAGTCTAGTGGGGTAGTGGGCAACTGTTCTAGACGTGTAGACTTTCTGAAGTTGAAATTTGGCGCGATGTGAGGAAGACCTGCACAAAATTGGCTTCCGACTGCTATGGGCATTCATGCGTTTCACTTTTCGGCACGTACCCACGATCTGGTGGAAATCGATCGTGGCCGTTTTCCTGGCGCAGCTGCCAGGTTGAACTGATACGACGCCAGCCTCAACCCATCTTTCCGAAAGCTTTGCTCAGGCTGGGAAATGCCTATTATTTGATGACCATCTACCTCAAGGCATGAGCACATGAGCATGGACATCGCTGTGTTTGCGTGTGTGGGCTCTCTCCTCTCATGCAGCCCTGCAGGTCTACTTAGTAGACGTCTGCCTGAATGAAGCTTGGCTTGAAGCTGGTGCAGCAAGTGCTTGCCAATGCTGTGGGATGAGTGTGTCTGTGAGGTTAAGGACGACTCGACCTTGGAGAGTCGCTTGTTTGCACCAGCCCATGGAGCCAACAACAGAACAACAGTCCTCCCAGGCAAAAAGCTTTCGAAACAGAGCTTTGTTGTGAGCGACGCAGGACTACTCGTCCCAGGAAGTCGTGGACTCACTGCTGCAGTGCTGGGTCTTTGTTGGCTTCATGCCTGCAAGTCAGAGTTGTTAGCTGGCATGGTCAATGCGGTGACGCATGTCACGGTAAGCTGAGGGTGCTTCCGAACTTTATCCTTGCAACTTGGCAGAGCCTGACTATCTTTCTCATGTTAGTGGCAAATTCCGCATGCATCACCTAGAATGGAAGTTTTGCCTGCGCATGCTCTGGAAAGGTTGCAGCGGACCACTTTGACATGTCCGCCGGACGCCTGGCAATTTTGCCAAGTCAACCGTTGACATCAGTCCGGGCCCGTTTTTGTCGAGGTCTTGGAAATGGGCTTCCACATTCGTCAGCACTTGCGAGTCAACCTTTTCCGCAGGGATCCAAGTTGAGAAGATGGAAGTGGGCATGTGCTCGTTTGCCTTCAAAGCACTTGACATCCGCAAGGCAAATACCTCAACTATACTCGGAACTCCAGGCGAAGCTTCAGTTTCGTAAGGTTGGTAGACATCAGGATGAAAGTTGTTGCAGCCAGTCGCCCCGAGCATGGAGGCTTCGCGTACCGATTCAAGATCTCAAAACAAGCATGATGGAGGACGGGCTGGCTTTTCAAAGCCTAGCTTATGCACCTACATAATGGTGCATCGCTCTGGTAGTGCTGCCTGCGGCCAGGACATTCCTACTTTAGCTAGAGATGGCTACCTCATCAGCTTTGAAATCTTGAAGAAGGTGTGCAAGGCAGACTGCGATAGTTGCATGCCACATCCTCCGGCTTGTGCCACTCAAGCTTGTATGAAAGGTTGTTTGTGTTGGCTATTGGCTTCTCAAGAAGCATCCTCGCTCCGGCATTCCACTTGCGATCTACCCCACTTTGATGTAGCTGGGCCTGAAGAACGGGGACAGCTAGCACCCGACAGCCACTCGCGATGCCACGTGACTTGTGCAAGCATTGTGAGCTGAGGCTCTTGTGGTTGGGCTCTCGATACAAGCGCAGGCGTTGTGCATTGACATTGGCCGTCTTGAGATGTTGCTGAATGCGTGTTTTCTGACCATGCATTGCGCAGAAGTAGCATGGTTCTTCATACAAAGGGCGTCCCCTATTCTGGAGGCTTTGGCTGCTAAAGAAGACCGGCGACGGAGGGAGCGACACTCAAGGCACAGAGCACGTCTCCGTGAGCATTCTGCGACCTAGTCATAAGCAGTTCCACCGTTGCTGTTTGCAACAAAGTCTATGACTTCAGGCTGGCTTCTCCACGCGGATGCATCTTATGAGCCTGAGCAGCAAGCTGGCTTCCTCGCATTAGAAACGGTGGCTCCTGGCCTGGGATTTGCGCAAGGGTGGGCGTTGGAAAATTGATGCGCGTGAAATGTGGTGAAGCTCCTGCTGCGATGTTGAATTACTTGCGGGCGCACCCGCAACTTCAGTACTCCGCTGTCATAGCGCGGCGCACATACCTGCATGTCTGGGTTTCCATGCCAGTATCGGTTTTCTTCTTCGGTGTCCTGGCGGCGCTTCTGAAGGGAAAAGCTTGCTCCCTCGGGCCTTGACAACCCCACCATGGCGACTCACGGAGCACCGGTTTGGTTCAACATGCTTACAGGGTGAAGTGCGCTTCCGTTACGTCGTGAATTTGAATGCATCGATGTGCTTTGGTTGTACGATTCTTGTGCAAGGTGATAGCAATGAATGGTGATGTAGATGCAAGTATCGCCCTGAAGCCAACTCGGACTGGAGGTTTGGTGATCTTCAGCGTGAAACGCCTGACATGGCTTGATTCCGGAACAGCGCGTCTGCGTGGGAACGATCACAGCAAATAGAGAAGGGGCGCGTCCGTCCCTGCACTCCGCAGGATTGCTTCTTTGCTGCCCGGCGCAGCCTTTGAAAACGGAGGAGGCGAAGGTGTGCGATTCAACCCGCCGTTGGGAATCAGCCCGTGATGGAGGTGCACAGGAAGCATTTTTGTTCCACGACGTGGTGTGATGTACTGGGCAGGGTGGGTGGGTGGGTGGGTGGGTGGGCCTTCTCTGGTGCGGACACTCCGCTGAGTGTGCAAGCCCTGTTGCTCACCAACGGCGTCAAGCGTTGACTCAGAACATTTACGAAGCATTCATTCGCAAGATTCCTGCAAGAAACTGTCATTGCACGCATGGTTTTCTATTGATGAAGCAGTTCCGAAACCTTCTGTTCAGGGTATGGTCAAATAGCGTAACCCTCCTTGGCGGCGCGGTCGTCAATCTCCCTGAGCTGTAGACTGTACCCGTAAGCTTAAATAGTGATTGCTGCTTTTTCGCGACTGTAGAGCTGGTTATTGCGTAGCCGCATGAAAGATGCAAAAAATGGTGGGGGGGGGGGTGGAAAACATTGCCATGCATTTTAGCTAGGGCGCTTTTACAGGCAAGTTGCAACAGGCTCAACTTGGGATTGGCGTCCTGATGATTTAACTCATGCCTATAGTCTCGGTTGGTGGCCAGAACCTCATAATCTGCTCGTTGGTCCGGTTTCCGCTTTTGGGGGCTTCTGCCCTTTGCTAGGGGCTTGCTGCTTTCTGCTTGCTGCTAGCTTGTTGGAGCACGAATTAGTTCTGAGTCTTATGACCGTTGTCTGCGTACTGTTACCAAGGCACTTGCCCCTCAAATCCTGGATTCCATCGCGAATTGTCATTGTTCGAAGCACTTTCATGCTAACAAATGTCTAGCGGTGTTGCTAAACGCTTTCTGTCATGGGCAGCGAGCCGATGTTTGAAGTTTGTACTAAAACCATTGCTGCTACTCACGATAGCACCTGTTATCAACATGCACATCAATAGTGGGGGCAAAACTTGCACCTGGACATCAATGTCACCGGTCCGCTTCCGCTGTTGCTATTGTCCTTGTTGCCATGAATTCAAATGCCACGAACACGTCCATAACTGCTGTTTATCGTAGATGTTACAGTTGGTTTTATTGGTGTGATACTGGTACGGGAGAATGTGTCTAGGGTGCCAAGGTTGGTGAGGTTACTGCTATTCAAAAATCTCATATGACTATTGTTACGCCCGACCAGAACTACTCCATCGTGACTATGACAGATTGCTCTTGCTGCCGTTCTCTTGTAGTTCATTGCAGAAGTCATGCAATGGTTGTGTGTGAACACATTGTGGTAATGTCAGTGGGGGTTCTCGTCGCGCTTTGATGACGGACTGTGATTAAAACAATGACAGAATAAGGTGGGAGGTGACTTGTCAAAGAGTGCATCACATGATGTGTGTGTCGACATTGCCACGTGGTGCATGTGCTGGAGTTGTCTGGTTGCTTCAGGATCTGGTCAACGATTACGGTAACCGTCTCTTGGCTAATAACCTTCACAACTGCGTGGAAGCAACTGCTGTTTCAATTGCTTGCGGGGAACAGCGCATGAGGCAATGCCATCGTGGGCAAGTTCCAGCAGGTTCTACAAGATCAGCGCAAGTTGGTGATGGCTTTGAAGTCGTTCTCTTTCTGGACCATCAGCTGCAGTGTCGTACTGCAAGCACCTATAGTTATTGTGGTCAAGTCTGCATAGAAAGCCAGTGAAGCAAGGGCAGACGTTTTGACATTGGCAGTGGCTCCTCACCTACAAGACTGACAAGCATCTTAGGAGTGGCATCATCATCCCTTGGATTACTATCATCGCCACCGGCTTCTACATCGCTGCTGCTGGGAAGCTCGTGACCGAAGGCCCTTAAGTATAAGTCTAGAGGTTTGAAGTCATTAATGCACCATCAAAGAAGCATAGCTGGAGTCTTCATCTCCGCCAGTTTCAGGGCTGCAGGCCTGACCTTCCAGGATTCCAGCAGCCACAGCACATGCGGTGCGCAGCCAGGTGAGCTTTCACTGGGTTCCTTCTTGGCGACCATCAACTTGTATAAAGCAGCCTGTTTGCAGTGTGCATGACCAACGTACCTACAACCATTGATATTGCAGCAGTACTCCACTGTTCCCGCAGCCATTCCGTGCTGCCCTTGAGATGCACGAGCAATTTCTGAAATGCCTGTAGCAGCTGAGGACTTGGGTGACCGCTTTGATGGGAAACATGGCAGCATTCTGATGGCTTTTGAGCCTGACCCATCTTACTCGTAGCAATTGAGGGTGTACTGTTGTATGCGTATTAGTGATCATATTTTGCTGACTTGCAGGTCGCATTTCCATGGTAGTTACTACTCAAGGGCTACCTGCAGCCTTGAGGGCTGCAGTATGACTACCTACTTGAACGTGCTTCCCAATATGACAAAATCTGAGCATCATTCGGCACGCCATACTCTCAGTCATAGCGGGGTCTTCGTACCTATGTTGGTCAGGAGCTTATGGTGGATGATGGTGGGTGGCTATATAGCGGCAAATGCCTCAGCGGTTATAGCGGGGGGCTTTCTAGTTGCATTCGGAGAGACTTTGGGAATCGCACATGTGAGGTCAGACAGTCAGTGATCTAAGCCTCGCAACCGCAGATGGAATCAGATGGAGTCCGTACTATTACTAAGACTAGAAGCCCTAGCATCAGCTGCCAACAGTAACTGGCCATGATGTCACTACAGCATGATGGTTGGTTGGTTTTTCAGTTGTGCCGGAAGTTCACCCACTCTGTACCCCAAAAACCGTTCGTCAAGCCACCCGGAATTCCGAAGCTTAAGCACGCCACGCCCAAGTTCAGCTTTGCATGATGTTGAATTCCGCAATTCGGGAAGGTCCGCATTCTATATAGCTCATTATTCCAGAAGTACAAGTTCCGAAGGCTCCCACAATCATGGCATCTTGGAACCAGATTGTTGAATGATAGATGTCTTTAACCTCAGAAACCACATGGAATGTTTTTACCTCAGGATGGAGAAAAAGCAGGGAGGGTTCTTAATTTTGGAATGATTTTGGCTCGAACTTGTTGGATTTTTGACTTCCATTCTGATCTATCTACATTGCTGGTTCCACACATAGTGGGTTCCCCGCGCGGGTCATGCCTTGAACGTAAGAGCAGGTTTGTGACGTGCAGGGTAGCATGCATGCATGCGCATACGGGCGTCGTACCCAAACGGACATGGCAACAAGCGTGGCCAGTAGAAAATAACGCAGCGCGGCTGGGACATGTGTTGCTTTGCCAAGCTTGAAGCGTCGTCCGGGGGGAGGTGGGGGGGGAGGCGCAATAAAGTAAAGTGTTCAGAAGATTATTCTGGAGCCACTTATTGAATAAAGTCTTTTCTGCCGAAAAAATCTGCAGAAGGTTTGTGACCAGGCCGGAATGTTCTAGAAGCAATGCCTTTATATGAGAAGGCCAGGCTTTATTATTACCTCTGGAACCTGGAATCTGACGCCACCAAAAATATTTGGTTTCTTATTAATGAAAATCGCTTATTCGAAGAGGCTAGGTAACCAAATGGTAAAAGGAAGCTAGTTCAGCAGATCCCCTGATCCGCAACGATATCAAACATATGTGGTGGCTAAACTATATAAAGGCTTTTTGGCCGGGCTCATGGTGGGTCAGAGCAAAAAAAAGCCACTAGTTTTAAAGGCCTGGGCTTTAAATCAGCAGGCCAGGCTCCATCACCCGTGGAATCTGGAATCTGATGCTCCCAAAAGCATTGATTTCTGATAAAGCTAGGCACGCAAATTCGAAAGGTTGTAGTCCAGCAGACCCCCTGATCCTCGATATTTTGGGGGGTGCTGAATTATGAAAAGGTGTTTTTCTGGCTGGGCTTATTAATGGTGAGGCCTGTCTAATTTGTTGCCTATCTTCTAATTCGATTCGCAATTCATCCTCATTGAGTTTTATGTCTTGTTGATTGAAATTTAATGGTTTAATCGGAATTGCAATAGGTATTCGTTAGGTTTCAATTGGTTGTGAATAGATGTTGAATAGTTGTAATTATATGCAAATCAGCTTCAGTAGGTTTTGAAAGCCCTCAGACATATTGACGAGGACTCTGCTCTTCCTAACTAATTATTCTCTTCATAGTTAAACTGAGCCATTCTTTAAGGATCTCCGTTCCCTGATTGGTTTTAATCGGAGCCATGGGATCCCCTAGACCCCCAATCCGTTTTGAGGACTTGTTTTAGAGGCCCCCCTTGCGTGTGTGTGGGAGCCGGGGCCGCGCCAATCCACTTCCCACATCAGTCCGTGGTGGGGCTTGGAGCAGAGTGCCATTGATTCAAGAGCGAGCCTTGCGTGAGGATATATGCGGACTTTGAGGCACTGTCCGAGGTCATAGATCCTTTGTCGGCAGCTGCACCGCATTTCTACATCCACCATGTTCTTTGATGCCGTGATGTGCACCTTAGGTCCTGACTGTCCAGTTCAACTTGGAAACTGACTTGCCTCAGCGGATGGAAGCGCACGAAGCGCATGAGCAGAAGCCTGGTTCATGTCATTGTGATGCAGGTGTTCAGAAGGGCTTCTGATCTGCCAGCTACTGGATCACGAACTACAATTTGTGAAAAGCTGTTCGCCCAGGTATCTCGAAAAGTTCCTTGCCGAAGAATCCACTTCGCAAGTCCCAGCAACTCTTGCAGAGAGCGTCTATGAGACCTGTCACAAAAATGGCGAATGAGTGCAGGGCAATTTTGCTGTAATTCGCGCTGTCCACTCCCTCTAAGGACACTGTTCCAATCTTCATAAAAGACGCCTCGGCCTCAACTTTGACAGTTGAGTCCTGCATGCCCTCGGTAGCTGCTTGCAATTTCACAGGTCGTGATCCGGACGGCACAGACGCCGCCCGCTGGCGTATGCTTCAAACCTGATGCGTACAGGCAGTTGGGAAGGGCAATTGAGCCAAGACCAAGACTGCGAAATAAGACCAGTGTCCTTTGAAAGCGGACGTTTGGGAAGCCTCGCTTTGGCTGTGCCATGCTCACCCCAAAGTGCACGCACCTTCATCAAGCAACGGGCGCAGGGAAGAAGGCGAAGGTGCCGACTACCCGACGGGCCCAAGTGGCATTCCTGCAATATTTGAGGGGTGGCAGGCTAGCAGAGTTTGAGATAGTCGCGCTCTGTGCCTAAGGACTTAGTATGCCTTTGTCGGCATCTGCGCAGCAAGGCTGCAGGGGAACCCAGGACTTCTGAGTCCTTTGCTCGCAGACGGCTGGGGACTGGTGCCAAGGTCTGATCTGCGTCAGCGGCGAAGCTGGCTGCGGAAAAACAGGCCTTCTGTCGATGATTACGAAGGACTGTTCCTTGGTGAGCAAGTGGGAAACGGCTTCGTGAAGATGGTCGCGAAGTGGCTTCTCACACAACCCGTTGCACTGCGCTGTAATTAGGTATGCCAACATCCGGGGAAGTCTGTCTGCCTCCGCACCTTCGAATCGTCCGAGTTTCGTCTCAACCTTCCTTTGTAAAATCCATGGGGTTGTGCCTCGGCAACACTATACAGACAAGACATTCTCCATCAGCTTACTGGAGCTTTTTGCAGATTAGGTATGCCAACTTAGTGTCGGAGCCCCGGAGGAAATCCGTTCTGCCGTCGTGCTTGTAGCTTGAGGATGGGCATCATTGCTGTTGAAGGTTGTCCCTGGCTTAGGTTTGGTGTTTTCTCTTCGGAGGGCTACCATGCGTACACCAATCCTGAGCGGGTGCCTTCCTTAGCCTTGCCAACTCCAAGCGCACTGAGTCCTGCAGACAGACTCAACAGGAATCAAACCTGCAGAAGAACTTTGCCCTTGTTTGTTGTTCGGTCAGGTCGGCCAGATTCTGCGCCGTTTATCCTTGCATCATTCATGGATCTACCATGCAGTGATGGAGGCAGTCGCGTAGACAGAGTCTGCTTAGAGAACATCCATGCGTTTGACCGGGGCAGGATTGCGCGAAGGCGGAGGATGAGCTGAGCCATAGCCTTTACATCGATGAGGATAGCCTTCCTGTTGACAGGCCTGGACTGCCGATGCTTTTTTCTTGACCTAGGTCCAGAACATCATGAGCATGCAGACGACGAAGACATTTTCCAGGTGTGGCTGCGCGGTGTGCGTTGCTGCATTCACAGAGTGCAGTACCAAGCAGCAGGAAATGGAGCTTGCCTTGAGAGAGGATGACGAAGCAGCGGCACTACCCTAATTTGCTTGTCTCTGGTGATTTGAGCCAAGCAAAATGGCAGTCACAACGCTTGACAAGATTCAGGTTCCTTTGGAAGACGTCGCCCTGGAGTCAGACGTAGAGCAGGTGGGATGTAAACTCAGCCAAAATACTTGCGAACGCGTTGGCGCAAGCTGCCCTGTCAGGACCACCTGACACATTGGTACGACTGCCTGAGCAAAAGCGAGGCTAAACGCCTACACCTGGCCAGAGCCTTCATCGCCAGCCCGGAGGCGTTTAAAGTTAAGACACGCTCACCACACATTGACACATTCAGGGGTGAAGCTGCAAGGGCTGCAAGGGGAGGTATCTTCAGGTATCATACCTTACTTCTTGGACTTCTGTGAAGTCTGGATACACAGCAAGCTGGCCAGAAACAGGTTGACTGATGATGAACCCCATGACTAAAGGCAGATGCCTTGCAGGTGCTCGTGATGCATGCACCTTTGGACAATCTAGATGTGGACTTGGCGAAGGACAGGTCGCAGTGAATCCCATCAGCCGCAGCTTGGCAACCTTCAACCCCTTGGCAGGACGTACTGCAGATGATGCGGGAGTTTGTGGATGAGAGAGGCAGCCCGCGATGCACTGTCTTACCCTGCTTGCTTGCCACACCATAGCGTGCTTCTTCATCGCTAGCCATGTAAGCAGTTTGTTTGCAAGCAGGCATCGCCCTAGACCCACAAACCAAGCACTGTCGACGCAAGCGCAGCTTGCACTGTGGCTGCATGGAGGACAAAGCTGCGTGTTGTTTCTCCACGAGAGAAAAAGCCATCAACATCATGATGAGCTCAGGTTCTTCTCTTCAACTGATGCACAGATGTGGCTGAGCTCAATGTGCATGCGGCCTCTGCTGCCGCAAGTTCTATCTCTATATAGGCCTTGTAGTCTTGGATCATGAGGGCAGATGTGCATCACGAACATATGTGCAGCGTGCTGGATGCGGAGTTTAAGGGCTCCGGCACCCATGAGGTGTGAGTCGGGTCCCATCACAGCCAAGCCGAGGTCCAGGGGAATCGCCGATTTCACGTGCACGCTAGGTTGGGAAGGGTCATGAGTGGGCTGAGCCTGCATCAGGGGCATGAATCGAACAGGTCGGGACACGGTCTCTCTAAACCTGGAACCCAGGGTACAGTCAAGCGGCTGCTGGCTGAGCATTTGCGTTTGATGTGGGGCCACTGCTGCATGTGCTGACGAGATGTAGCAAGGTCAAGGTTGGCTCTGGACTTGTGGTGACGGCGGATGAGACTTTGCACCAGAATGTACAACATTCACATGTGGTCAAACACCGTTTGATCAGTTACATTTGTAACAAAAGCATGCGCTCCAAGTCCATTCTGGTAGTCTTGTCTGTGTGAAACTCAAGCTAATGAGCCACTGGCGACTTGCAGTTTGGAAGTCGCAGATTTACCGGGCAACTTGCAAAGGAACAAGTGTTAGACGCTCGGCTGTCTCACAACCTGGCATAGGCCAGAGATGGAAAATGAAACAGCAGCTGACTGTCACTAGCTTGCAGAAGTGTTCAGGAACGAGACCACTGACCGCCAGCAACAAAAACCATGTGGGCAAGCAACGACAAGCGCATGTTGGGTGCAGCCACGATCCTCTAGCTCCTGCAAAGGGATGACCGCTGACTCTTAGGCGGCCTTCGGTGCCATGTCAAACCGCACCCATCAGCCATGGGAAGAGAAGCGCCAACAGACCGAGAGGTTAGTCAATCGCTGTATCGAGACACAGGCCAAGGGGCCCGACATCTCCGGCGCAGTCCCTGAGCCCTCAGGAGAGACGCTTGACCAAACTAGGCCAAAGGCGGAGATGGCTTACACTTTCGAAGCGCGGAGGCAATTCCAACAGGTGATGGCCAAGCAGCAGAGAGCCTCAGATGAGCGAAAGTTCTTTGCTGCAGAGAAGGGTTTGGGAGTGCCAAGCTGTCGGGTAGGTCCAACCTCCCTTAGTGCCCCGAATGGATTGCGAGGCCATTTCCATAACAGTGTGGGTGTGAAGTCGGCTTATGGAAGCCACCGTTGGCCCCAAAGTTTGGACGTCAGATGGGATGGCTCCCATATTGACCAAACCAGAGCCGAGGAAATGAGACCGAATCCAAAGATCTCCAAAATGGACAAAGCGACTCGCGCTCGCCAGTTCAGTTGCTTCTTTGGCTCTCATGATGCCTTTACCGCAAAGCGCGATAAGGCAGCACAAGAGTATGCAGATTCCGGCCCATACAAAGACCCTGGCAATCCCGAGTTCCGGGAAGACATCCCGCAGCGTCACGGCAAGTTTGGGCGCCGTGCCTTCAATGCGCAGGTGGGCTTCCGCCATTATGAGAACCCTCACGGCATCAGTGAGATTGATAACAAGCCACAAGAGGATTTCCGACGAGAGCAGGAGCGAGTAGAGGAGTTCCTCGACCGATCGCTTCCGCCTCGCCAGACTCGGCATTTCAAGCAGCACATGCCCAGAGCTGATGCGCCACAGAAGTATGAGGACATGAGCTCCCGAAAAAGGATCAACACTTGCATTGACGGTAACCTGAAGACAAGTGCATTGGGCTATGGCCAGATGAGGTTTTCTGATGACAAGGATTTCCAGCTTTATGCGCGGCCGCTGAACACAAGTCAAATGGATCGGGCTGTTCCCATGTCATGATACTGCGAAGCAGTCTCAACCAGCCATGCACGTCAGTAGTGGCTGCACCGTCTCACCGCTGCAAGCAGCACAGCCAAGATGGCATAGTGCGGAGTGATCCGGGCTCCGCTTGCACAAAGATGCCACACTCAGCATGCGGCAAGTGCTTGTCATGTCCTGCTATGGCGCTGCATGACATTTCGCTGCCTTGCTCTACCTGTACGCGCGACATCCCAAATGCACCAGAACATTGCGCTTCGGGCTGCGAAAACCGCACCGATGCGCATTTGAAGAAGTGAAGTAACGAAGTAAAGGCTACCCTTTCTTTTTGAAACTTGGGGGCTGGGCATACCAGATTCTGACCTGACCACTTGGTAAAACAGGGCCAGCATGATTCCTTGCCAGCCAATTAGTGAACTACCTCAGGTTCGGAGACAAGCTTAGTTTCACACAGTTGCCAGGCAAATGCAGGCAGATCTATGGAAAAACAGAGCCATGGACCCGGGTTGCTGGTGAGCGACATTGCCCTCCAGTTTGGGCATGAAGCCTTTGAGGAGCATCGCATAGCGACAGACAGTTGACAGACAGTTGGCTTGCTTTAGAGTGCTGTAAGTTTCATCGCTGGCAGGACAATGACATAGGAATCAGGCCGGGGCTGCGCTCACTGAGACATGCGTCCACGTGATGCTGTCAGAAAATCGTACCGCGAGGCTCACCCCAGGGATCTCCGCTTGGGCACGAGAAGCTGCAGATAGAATCAATCGCTCAAAGCCGGACTACACAGTGCTCCTGGAAGGCTGGGATGGTTTATGAATTAGTTGGCGGCTTTCTCATCCAAGTGTCAGGCCACACTCCTGGTCTGCCTGATGAAAATGATGCCACGCGGCGCAGCATTGGCGAGGAGCTGTGCGGCCTGATGACTGTTCTTGAGAAGCCCTCGGGTCGCCCCAAAGTCATGCACCGAACCTGAAGTTCAGAAGCTGCCAGTCACAATCCAAAATCGTTTTACAGCTAGGATGGGTATGGCGTTTTAGATGCACTTGTGCTGCCTTTCTGCGCGTACGTGTGCGAATCATGTGCGAGGAAGCGGCCGACCTGAGACTCAGCAGCAACTCAACTCCAGCATGCCTCTGAAGAAATGAAGAAGGCACTTCCTGAAGGCAGCCTGAAAAATCATGACAGGCTTCGCAAATACCTTGAGGGGGAGGGCGTGAGACGCTCTATTCGTTGCATCGGCTGCGGAAGTGCAGAAGGCCTCGGTCTCTGCGTGCGTGTTCGCCTGGAGGCCAGGGCCTTTCTGCATCCACGTTGAAAATTCACGCTTTCGTTCTTCAATTGAAGGAGCCGCAGACGCGAGCCCCCTCAACCGCAGCGAGTCTCACGCAGGACATCTCCAGACTGGCACTGGACAAAAGAAGCTGCGCTCCTTCACCATTTCAGGACTTTTTGCAGCTGCGCATGCAGCTCCGCCAGTTGTCCAGTGATGCTCTTAGCTTTTGAGACACAAGTAGTCATGGTGCACATTTGAGCACACAGCACCTTGCATCCTGAGATGCTAGTTGTCCTTTGTGTAAGTTGGAGGTGCTATGCCATTGACGTTCAAATCGAATTCCGCAGATCTATCCCAAGAAGGTACCTGCTGTGTGCTTAAAACAGCTCCTCGCCTGGCAAGTTGCATTCTCTGGCTGCTGGCAGTCGCTTTCTGAAGCACTGCCTCGAGGCTAAGTTGGTTCGATCCCATCCAGACCTTGTAATCCAATGCTCAGGCGCACTTTCGCATGCTGTCGCTGTAGCAAAGAAATATTGTGTTTCCATTCCCCAAAGAGGCTTTGCCAGGGGAGATCCATTCGAGAACGACCATGCGAAGCGCGAGCTCTCAAAGCTCCGGGCGGATGCCATAGCAAGGACGCTTCGAAACCACGGTGCTTGGACCTCGGTACTCTCAGCTTCAAAACTTCGAAGCTTGTCTAATGCACCGACGCCTGCAGTACCAGAATCGCAGGTCAGCAACAAAATCCTGAGCTATGGTTTTGGCTCGGCGCTGGGCACGGGGCTCGCTGCAGCCCTGGACTTCCTGACAGCATCGGAGGGGGATGCGGAAGAGGATGAGTTCCGAACCTTTGACTTACTTTCTTTCTCTTGAGTTGACAATTCTGAGTTCCCTGCGCTGCCACAGGGCCATGGTGTCACCGCTTTAAGAGTTAGGGATAGCAGTTGGTGTGAACTTGCCTTGGGATGCTTTCAACAGCACCACTGCACGAATCCAGCAAAAAGACTCATCCAAGGGCTCCTTCCGCACCTCAACATCATCCCAGAAGATCAGGAGGGTTCGGTACTGGATGCTCTTCTCAAGGAGCGGGAGTAGAAGTTGTGATGATCATGCCAGGCGATTACGGCACACACATGAGTCACATGGAGACGTGGGTGGGCTACAGCCTTTTGTGCTTACAGGGCGTTAATTTCTAGATGCTTCTGGATAGCAGTGTAGACGCTAGATGTTATCAGGATCAGGATGCAATTCACGTTCATTATCCATTTAAGCCCTTCAGGGCCCACATAGTCTACTCGCAGAACAACCGGGACATGGCTACAGCATACAATCCTGTTAAGCGAGAAGTTTACAACGTGAAAGAAGCCAAAACCCTTTAAGCAGGGTGCCGGAATGGCTGCACAGATTCTGTTGAATGAAAGAAATTATGAGACATCATTGTTTGGAGTCTAGCTTGGCCGTGCCGAGTTGGTTGGAATGCCTGATGGGTCCCCAGGAGCTCCTGCTGAACTACACGTTTGAGCCCAACGGCGTAAGGCACCGCCCGTGTCAACGTGCCCTGCATGCAGCCCGGCGCGCACGAAAGCAATGCAAGACGTTGCCCGCAGGATTCCATCATCAGCCGCGCTGCGAATGGTTGCTGTGGTGCTGAAAGCATTTCCCAGTTGGGCTATCAGGCAGCTGAGCCAGGGCCACGTACGGTAAAGGGGTCGCTTAGCAAACATGTCTCTGGGTCGCTTAACAAAACGTTTTTTTGGCCGCTTGGCACGTCTTTTTTTTGGCCGCTTGTCTGCAGCCATGTCGTTCCTTGAGCCGTCAACCTGACACCGTAGATCTTTGACCCTAAGCTCTAAATCCCTAAGCCCTAAATCCAAAAGCCCCAAACCCTAAACCCTAAATCCAACACCCCTAAACCCTAAACCTAAAACCCCTAAACCCTAAACCTTCAATCTGCAGTGATATGCAGCGACCTTTTTGGGACGTTTATGCACCTGCCTATGTGGGCTTTCCGTGCAGACGGAAAAAGGTGTGGCAAAAAAAAACCTTCAATCTTCGACCCTAAATCCCTAAACCCTAAATCCAAAAGCCCTCAACCCTAGACCCTAAATCTAAACCCTAAGCCCTAAATCTAGACCCCCTCAACCCTAAACCCTAATAAATCCGACACCCCTAAACCCTAAACCCTAAATCTAGATCCCCTAAACCCGAAACCCTAAATCCACAACCCCTAAACCCTGAATCCGAAACCTGAAAAACTCTACATCCAAAACCCCTAAACCTTAAACCCTAAAATCAAGACCCCTAAACCCTAAATCTAAAACCCTTAAACCCCAAATCCAAAACCCCTAAACCCTAAACCCTTATAAATCCAACACCCCTAAATCCTAAATCTAAAACCCCTAAAACCTAAATCCAAAACCCCTTTAAACCCTAAACCATAAATCCAAACCCCCTAAACCCTAAATCCAACACCCCTTAACCCTAAACCTAAATCCAAAACCCCTGCCCCCAAACCCAAACCCCCTAAACCCTAGGCCCAAGACCCTTCAGGCTATGCCAGAATCCTGAGTTGGGGTTGCTACCTGACCCGAAGCGTTGCGGGATCCGACTTGGCTAAGTGACCCGCAAAAATGTTTGCTCAGTGACCCCGGAACCCCACGTACAGCCTTGCGCGGCTTTTCCTGCACAGCATGAGCTCACTGCATTTACGTACCTCCTTCCTTTTGGACAGGTGCGAGGGTCATGCGAAGGGATTGCCAAATGAAAACGGCCTGGAGAAAAAGCAACTGCTGCTCCTATGCAAAAAGCCTGGCAGTTTTGAAAGCTGTGGCCAGATGCGTGGTTTGATCATCTTGTAAATGAGGTCCTTGGCCCGCGCAGAGAACTTTCGCAGAGCTTTGCAGGACGTGTGGCCTGCTGCGAGTCTTTCAGCCTGCATTCCACCCCGTGGCAGGAGCTGGGCGTGAGAAACACAATCACGTGCTGTGGCTACGGCAGTGAGATGGGTATCGGAAAAGCTGTCCGAATGTATGCAGTGGAGCGACAAGGCCACGTTATCTATGTTCCAGATGCTGCGCAATCCCTGCGTGCATGGATCACAGACTGCTTCATCACCGTCATCACCTGACCCCTAAAGGATCCATTTGCATCCCAGAGCTTGCAAACATGCCGGAAGACGAAAGGCTTGCCCTGGACTCTGGAGCTTCACATGTTCATGGGATCTAGTTAAATCTAGTCGCCTCATTGGCCCACAACCCCTCCTGCCAGGGTCCGACGCCTGGATCGACTGCTGGAGCAGGCGTTGGGCGGCAACATCGACTTCATTCCAAACCAGACAGCCATCCCCAGTTCAGCTGGAGGCCTGAGTAATTAAAACTCAGCAATTATCAATTTGCATGGTTGCTAGCTAGCTTCTCCCATTCGGGGTGGCAATGCTTGATAGTCTAGAGGTCAAGGATGTCAGCTGCAGCTACTTTTTGAGAGTTGCTCATGCCCGAAAGAGGTTTGCTGTCCACTGTGGCGGAGCTGCTGCGCGCAGTTCCCGAAGACATTGCCTTGGTGTGCGAGGCACACGCACGAGGCTTGCCCGAGGAGAATACAGACACTCGGCTTAGCACTTTGATGGGAAAAGGATGAAAAGAGGCCCGCATGCCGGGCAATGCAAAGGCAGTGCAAGCAGGAGCATATTCTGAGACTCCTGTACTTAGGCAGGCAAACAGAAGCTAACAAAGCGCCGCGCAGACACTTGGCC